GAGAGTGTGCTGGAACGCAGCTGGGGCGAGGAGAAGGTGGATGTGCCCAAGGCTCCGGGGCTTGGCCTAGTCCTGGAGAGGGTGCACTTTGAGAAGTACAATCAGCGTTTTGGTAGCGATGGGCTCCATGAACCCCTGGACTGGGCGCAGGAGGAAGGGAAGGTGGCTGCTTTCAAGGAGCAACACATCTATCCTACCATCGTCAGCACCGAGCGGGATGAGCGATCCATGGCCCAGTGGCTCAGCACTCTGCCTATCCACAACTTCAATGCCACTGCCCGTGGAGCAGCCGGCACAGGTGCCAAGGTGGGAGCCTGGTCTACAGGGTGCTCGTGTGTACATACTGGGGCTGGGTGGGCTGGGTAAACACTTGTCTTCAGCCCCAGTTGTAGAGAGTAAGCTGAGTCACAGGGAATCCCCAGTCACACAGCCCCTGGAGCAATGGGTTGTGTGGTCCCTGGACTACCTCCTGTTCCTGCCCCACTCTGTGACCTCTAGGCAAGGCTTGCTCATGGGCTGGCATTGGGCTGAAGCTGCTGAGTAGTCTGTCTGGTCACCATTAAAGGTGTAGGCTGCCTGTGCCTACCTGTTCAGTTGTAGTCGGTTTCTGTCCCTCTGGTGGCTTAGCTCAGGCACTTGGCACTATGCCCAGGATTCCATTGTTTCCCCCATGCCCCACACATGGCAGTGCCTACAAGTTGGGTCTCACAGTCCTTTTCTTGTCTCCCTTCCTACAGGTCCCCAGTTCCCTGGAGGGCAGCGAAGGGGACGGAGACACTGACTGAAACTACAGCTGCTGGCCACTGCTGTGAGGGTTGAGGCTGGAGTCTCTGCACTTGCCTGTCTCTCGGGACACGGAAGCCAAGAATTTTGGGACCAGCTTGTGGATGTAGCCTGGCTTCACAACCTCAGGATATTACATTTCTCATCCCAGGAATCAGTTGCCTCTTTCGGCCCATGCATTGTGTGTATACACCTTAGCATGAAAGGACACTTTTTTAAAAAAAGAAGTGATTTTTTTCCTATTAAATATGTTTTGCTTAGTGAATTATTCTTCCCGTTTCCGTGTCTGGCTGTGAGATGGCTGGGGACGCCGCTGTGTGAGGGGTCGCTGACGGGCACAAAGGGTCAGCGTGAGGGTGTGACTGACAGGCGGGCAGGCAGGCAGTAGATGTAGGTGGGTGCAGTGGTGTGTTCTGCATGTCCTGCTGCATGCCACCCACCTGTGCCTTTGCTCACTCACTGCTCAGCTGGGAGCTGCCTGAGGGTGCTCCCAACAGCTACCTGTACCCCCTGTCTTCCATCCTGGCCTGCTCTTTGTGTCCAGTCCCATTTTCTTTGAGGTGGCTACCTTGGTAATCTGAGCTCTTGGCTGTGACTTCATGCTACTTTGGAGAGACCTCAAGTGGGGTGCTCCCATGTCCTGGTGTTCTTTACCTCTTTTGGGTCTCCTTTTTAAAACTGCATGATTGTTCATGCCCTTCGGCAGGTGGCGGCTCCCACCTGAGCAGTGGAGCCGTGAAATGGAACTTTGGTTTTTTTCATTTTCTGGTCTTAGGACATTCCCCCTGTCCATTCTGTCCCTGAGACACCAACACAAATTTGGAAGCCTGACTTCCACCTGCCTGCACAGAGCTTGGGTTTGAAGCTTACCCCTCAATGCACACCCACTGTCACTAAACTACCTCAGCAATAGACCTGGAACGCCCCCTTCAGTCCAGTGTTATCCTCCCAGAACCTCCCTTGCCTTTTATGGGTGAGGCATACTCAAATTTCTAGCACATTCAGCCTTTAGGCCTGCACAGATGTCTTCATCCCACAACCTGAGTTTTTTAGTTTGTTTAGAATGGCAAGTAAGTACTTATAGTCCAGGGCCTGGTGAGAGGAGACGTCTTAACAGCTAAGAGCATTTTGCTTAAAGAGGATCTGGGTTTGATTTCCAGCATCTATATGGTGGTTCACAACTATATGCAACTTCGGATCCAACAGGCTGCAGGCAGGCAGGAAGGCAAAACATTTATACGCAAGATGTAAAATAGATAAGTCAAAAAAATTTTTTTTAATTTTATTTTTTTTTTAATTTTTTTTTTTTTTTGGTTTTACGAGACAGGTTTCTCTGTATTGTTTTGGAGGCTGTTGGTCCAGCCTGGCCTCGAACTCACAGAGATCCGCTTGCCTCTGCCTCCCGAGTGCTGGGATTGAAGGTGTGTGCCACCACCGCCCGGCTTAAATTTTATTTTAAGGGTTGGTGAGATGACTCAGTAGATACGAGTTCCTGCCACTCTTGCTGAGGACCCATGTTCAATTCCCAGGACCCCTACTGGGCAGTTTATATATGACTATACCTCTAGCTCCAGAGGGTTCAGTCCCCTCTTCTGGTCTCTGAGGGCACTGCATTCATGTGCACATACCCACACATAAGACACACATACACACACCTAATTAACAAATAAAATCTTGACAGTAAAGAATGGAAATCTCGCAGGGCGTTGGTGGCGCACGCCTTTAATCCCAGCACTCAGGAGGCAGAGGCAGGTGGATCTCTGTGAGTTTGAGGCCAGCCTGGTCTACAAAGTGAGTTCCAGGACAGCCTCCAAAGCTACAGAGAAACCCTGTCTCAAAAAAAAAAAAAAAAAAAAGAATGGAAATCTCAGGTCAGCAGTGGTGGCACACAACTTTAATCCCAGCACCCAGGAGAGAAAGGCAAGTAGATCTCTGGAAGTGAGGCCAGCCTGGTCTACAAAGCAAGTAGGACTGTCAGGACTGTTACACTGAGAAACCCTGTCTCAAAAAACAAACAAACCAACAAAAAACAACAAAATAAAATCTTTAATCCCAGCACTGAGGAGGCAGAAGGCAGATCTCTGTGAGTTTGAGGCCATTGTGGTCTACAGAGTGAATTCCAGAATAGCCAAGGTTGAACCTCTATCTGGAAAAAATGTGTGTGTACAGGTAAGCTCCCTGATGTGGGTGCTACGAACCTAACTCTGGTCTTCTGTTAGAGCAGTAGTGCCCAGTCCCTCTTGTTTTGTTTTTGTTTTTTTAAATTATTCTACTATTTACTTGTGTGTGTAAATGCCTTTGGAAGCCAGAAGAAAGTGCCAGATTTTCTGGAGCTAGTTACAAATGGTTGTGGACCACCTGATTGTGGGTTCTGGGAACTGAATTCAGGACCTTCTGAAGATCCCTAAATGCTCTTAAGAGCTAAACCATCTTTCCAGCTGCCCCAACTCCTTGTTGGGTTTTAAAAAGATAATTTATTATTTGACTGTTTCATGCAGGTTTATTTTGATCACATTCACCTTCCCTTTCCTTTATCTTGTACACCTTCCTCTGGACCCTTCTTCCTAACACATTTCCTTCCTGTTTTTGTGAGACAGAGTCTCGAGTATTCCAGGACACCCTTGAACATGCTTTGTGGATGAGGCTAGCCCTGAATCCCAGATCTTCTTCCTTCAGGCTCTTAAGTGCTGGTATTAACACTGCAGTGCTTTTCAACCTTCCTAACTGCAACCCTTTTATATAGTTCCTCATGTTGTGGTGACCCCCCCAACCATAAATTATTTTGTCCCTACTTTGTAACTAACTTGTTGCTGTTAGAAATCATAAATTAAACATTTGCTATACAAAATATCTTACATGTGACTCCAAAGGAGTCACCGGTTTGTGCCACCATGCTTGGCTAATTTTCTTTTTTAAAATGTGTTTTAGCTGGCAATGCTGGGTGGCTATGCTCTTTTAATCTTAGCAGCGGAGGCAGAGGCAGGAGGATCTCTGTGAGTTCGAGGCCAGACTGATCTGCAAAGCGAGTTCCAAGACAGCAGGATTGTTACATAGAGAAACCCTGTCCAAACAAACAAACAAACAAACAAACAAACAAACAAACAAACAAGTCTCACTCTCCAGTCCAGGTTGGCCCCAAACTTGCACAGCAATGAATCCTACCTCAGCCTTCGTCTCGGTTTTCACTTGCATTTCTCTGCTGCTTAATGATGACCCTGGATGTGTTTTCACACTTCTGCTCACCTCACCGCCTCCTCTCTGTGAAACCCAGCGATACTGGGGCTAGTCCCTTAGTCCCCAGGAAGACAACGCTACTACCCAGAGGACGCGATCAGGTCCGCCGAGCTTTTCCTAACTAGTCTTGGGCTCCCAGAATGGTGAGTCCCCGCCCTCCAGAATGCGTAACGGAGGGAAACATCAGGCTCCACCTCGTACTGACGAGGCCACGCCCGAGCTTGCCAGAACGTCCCCAAACTTTGAGGCTCCGCCTTGTACTGGTGACATCACGCCCCGAGCTTGCCTGAACTTCCCCTAGCGTTGAGGCTCCTCGTACTGACGGGGTCGCCCCTAGCGGCCACCTGCTGAGCCAACGGCTCTTCCCTGCTTCCGCGCTGACGCCCTCCGTATTGACCGAAACAGTCTTTTTTGCTTTTGTTTTGCTTTTCGAGACAGGGTTTCTCTGTGTAGCTTTGGAGCCCATCCTGGCACTCACTCTGTAGACCAGGCTGGCTTCGAACTCACAGAGATCCGTCTGCCTCTGCCTCTCGAGTGCTGGGATTAAAGGCGTGCGCCACCAATGCCGGGCGCGGACCGAAACAGTCTTTTTTTTTTTTTTTTTTTTTTTTGGTTTTTCGAGACAGGGTTTCTCTGTATTGTTTTGGAGGCTGTCCTGGAACTAGCTCTTGTCGACCAGGCTGGCTTCGAACTCACAGAGATCCGCCTGCCTCTGCCTCCCGAGTGCTGGGATTCGGGATTAAAGGCGTGCTCCACCAACGCCCGGCCGAAACAGTCTTAACTCGCTTCGCTCGCTGAGGCCTTTCAGAGGCGACTCTGAGGTAGCCCTCAGCGCTCTGGATCCCGCCCGGACCGCCCAACGCGCCGCCTATATGTAGCCCCGCCCCTTGCCTCCCCGCCCCTTGCCTCTGCCATCTGGAGCCGGCGACCTCGCGCGGCTGTGACCAGCGTTGCAGGACTTGTAGCCGTTAGTCCCTCGCCGCTTGCCGTAACCCCGGCGCTGCTGTTTCGTGCGCCCGTGGACCCGGATGCGCCGAGCGGCGGCGGCGGCGGCGCGCTCGGGCCTCCCGGCTGTCCTGACGAGCGGAGCGCGGTTCGAGGTGTAGGGTGACTGGAACGGCGACAGCGGGGTGAGAGGCCGGGTTGGTAGGCAGCTGGCGGCGGTGGCGTGCCGGGCGGGTCGCCTTCGGCGGTGCTGCCGCCCGCGTCGCGTCAGGCCCAGGCCGCGGCGGCGCTTTGTCGTGGGCGGGCGGGGCCGAGGGGCCGGGCGGCGCGGAGAGGGACCGGCGGCCGGGCTTGGCGCGTGGTCCGGCCTCGGGAAGGCCCTTCCCTCGTCTGCACTCCCGCGAGCCGCGTTCTCGGCAGGCGCGCGGCTGCCAGTTCGGAGCGGCCGGGAAGGCGGGGCTCTCAACGCCCCCGGCACCGTTGGTCGGCGGTGGGTGCGCGGCTTCCTTCTCGGCGTAGAGCTGGGAGCTGAGGTAGAGCGAGCGGCAAGGACGCCGGGCACCCGGGACCTCCCCGGGCCGGCGCCCCGAGGTGCACTGTCAGCTTCCGAGCCGCTGTCCCCGCAGGTCTGTCCCCAGGTCTAGCACCTGGGAGCCCCGCGACTTTGACGAATTGGGGGTTGCGCTCATCCCTGGCAGGATGTTTGCATTCTCTGTGTTTTGGGATTTTGACGTGTGAGAAAAACGGTTCTTGTTTTGTTTCGGGTTTTGTTTTTAAAGACAGGGTATCACCCCGGAGCCCGGGCTGGTCTTTTAACTTGCTGTTTAGACCAGGCTGGCCTTGATCTTACAAGAATCCGTGATTCTTGTACATTTTGCGTGTGTGTGGTATCTGTATAGTATGAATGGCCAGGAAAGGCAAACTACGTGTTAACTTTAAAATGTCTGTTCACTTATGTAGGTTTTTCTGAAACGAAGTCCGAGTCAGTCTGTGTGGAACTAAGTACCCCCAGCTGGCCTGTAGTTCGTAGTAATACAGCTGCCTCAGCCACCGTTCTGGGGTTAGGAGTCATTACACCTGGCTGTTTCATTTACTTGTTTTTCAGGTGAACCCTTACTTTGTGTCCCAGGATGGCCTGGGTTCAGGTTATCCTCTTACCTCAGTGTCCTTCCGTCCGTCCCCCACTTCCTCCCTCCCTCCCCTCCATCCCTCCCTCCCTCTTCCCTCTCCCTACCCCCCCCCCAGTTGTTTTCTGGCCACCTTATCCACACCTACAATAGTAATCTTTTCAGTTGACCCTGTCACGTCTCAGCTACCTTGTATACCGGGGTGGGAGAGAAATTTTGTGTGCTTCCTTTATTTTTCTCTGTAGCAATTTTTCTTGGGCTTTTGATCATCTTCCCTCTCATCTGATTAGGCTCCACCGTTTGTGAAGTCTTTGTTCTGGTTGTTCAAGAAACTTTTTGTTTATTTGTTTTTTGAGACAGGGTTTCTCTGTGATTTTTGCAGGCCATCCTGGAACTCACTCTGTAGACCAGGCTGTCCTGGAACTCACAGTCACAGAGATCCGCCTGCCTCTGCCTCCCGAGTGCTGGGATTAAAGGCGTGCGCCACCATTGCCCGACAGCTTTTATTTGTGTGTGTTCATGTGTTTGTCTCCTTGTGTGAGTAACTGCAGAGACAAGAGGTTGTCCGATCTACTGGTGGTTGTGAGCTACCCAACGTGGGTGCTGGAATTCAGACCCTGGTCCTCTGGAAGAGCAGCAGCATCCCTTTTTTATTTTAGGTGTATAGGTGTTTTGCTTTCTCTGTACCACTTGATTGCCTGATTCCAACAGAGGCCAGAGGAGGGAATCAGATACCTGGGAACTGAAGTTACAGAGGATAGTTAGTCACTGTGTGGGTGATGGGAATTGAACCTAGGTCTTCTGGAAGAGCAGCCAGTGTGCTCAACTGCTGAGCCCTCTCTAGCTCCTCCTGCTGATGAGTTTTTTGAGACTGTTAAAAAGAAACAGTGAAAGCACTGTCTTCTTTATTTTAATTTTTTATTATTTGGTCACTTAGCCATGGCTGGCCTTGAATACTTTGTAGATCTGTCTGGGCTTGAACTTGTGATACTCATGCTTCTGTCTTCTGAGTGCTTCCATTGCAGGCATGTGCCACCATACTTTGCTGAAAGCATCATTTTTCATACGTTTAATCTCTCTGTGAATGTATATGGTACTGGGGATCAAATTCAGGGTCTTGCTTATGCTAAGGAAGCACTTAACCATTGAGTTACATCCCTACCCCTTATGCTTCTGAAACATTTAGTGTTGTTTTTAACACCCTCTGCTTCTGGGATTTGATCCCATCTGGGTCCTGGCTCTCACTGAGTTGTCTTCATATAAGATAGAGACCAGTTAACCAGTACCAACGGCTAACTCCTCAAACCTGCTCTTTATGGACCAGTGGCTACTTAGTAGGACCATGTCTCAAGAAAATAAATAAAAGTAAAATTAGAGTTTAAACTGAGTTAAAATATCTCATTGGGGACATGTGAATTTAAATCATAGTTAGATGTAGTCTTATCCCAGTTAGTTAAAGTGGCAGTTAACAAAAAGACATAACATGTTGGTGAGGTTGTGGAAAAGGGAACTGTGGTATGTAGTTGGGGGGAATGTAAATTAATACTGCCAAAATGGACCCAGAATGTGAGAACCTCAATAACTAAAAAATGGGACTATTTATGACTCAGTAGTCCCACACCTGGGTATGTATCTAAATGAATTTGCAGTCAGCATACAGAAGAGACACCTGCACAGCCATGTTTCTTGTAGTACTGTTCATAACAGCCAAGATAGAGAATCAGTTCAGGTGCCTGTCTGGGAATGAGTAGGAAAGAATGTGATACACACACACACACACACACACACACACACACACACACACACACACACACACAGGGGTTCTGGGAATGAGTAGAAAAGAAAGTGTAGTTGGATGTTTTCTGTCCTGCCTGTTAGTTCCCATAGACACTTATTAAATAATCACTCAAAGGCTAATATTAAATACAATTGCTTGACCAATGGCTCAGGCATATCTCCGACTAGCTCTTACAATTAAATCAATCCATTTCTTTTTTTTTTTTTTTTTTTTTTTTTGGTTTTTCGAGACAGGGTTTCTCTGTGGCTTTGGAGGCTGTCCTGGAACTCACTTTGTAGACCAGGCTGGCCTCGAACTCACAGAGATCCGCCTGCCTCTGCCTCCCGAGTGCTGGGATTAAAGGCGTGCGCCACCACCGCCCGGCTAATCCATTTCTTTCTTAAAAAACTAATTGATTTAACTTTATTTTATGTGCATTGGTGTGAGGGTGTCAGATACCCTGGAACTGGAGTTACAGACACTTGTGAGCTGCCATGTGGGTGCTGGGTATTGAACCTACGTCCTTTGGAAGAACAGCCAGTCCTCTTAACCACTGAGCCATCTTTCCTGCCCAAATTAAACCATTTCTTTTTACTTTTTCTATTTTTTGGGGGGTGATGGGGGAGTTTGAGACAGGGTTTCTCTGTAGCTTTGGAGCCTGTCCTGGAACTCTCTGTAAATCAGGCTGGCCTCGAACTCACAGAGATCCACCTGCGTCTGCCTCCTGAGTGCTGGGATTAAAGGCGTGCACCACCACCGTCTGGCAAATAAACCCATTTCTAATACTTTGTATTTTACCACTAAGCTTGTGGCTTGTTACCTCACATCTTGCTTCTCTGGTGGCTACGTGGCATCTTCCTGATTCTGCCTTCTTTTATTCTTCTCTGTTTAGATTTTCCTCCTGGAAGCTATATTCTGCTTGGCTATTGGTCAGGCCAGCTTTATTTTCAACCAATAAAAGAAACACATATTTGCAGCATACAGAAGAATATCCCAAATCAAGAATGTGATGTATAGCTGGGTGTTGGTGGCGCACACCTTTAATCCCAGCACTCGGGAGGCAGAGGCAGGTGGATCTCTGTGAGTTCGAGACCAAGCCTGGTCTATTGAGCGAGTTCCAGGACAGGCTTCAAAACAATACAGAGAGACCCTGTCTCGAAAAAAACCAAAACCAAAACCAAACCAAGCAAAAAAACATTAGCTGGTCTTTCAGAGGTCCTGAGTTGAATTCCCAGCAACCATAGGTGGCTCACAACCATCTGTAATGAGATCTGATGCCCTCTTCTGGCTTACAGGGACACATGCAGACAAAACACTATATACATAATAAATAAATTTTAAAAATGTGATGTATATACACAATGGAGGATTCTGAGAATAAGTGGGGAAGAATGTGATATGTACACATTATACACATTGTGCACAGTGGAGGACTGGGTTCTAAAGAGAATGAAGTCACATCATTTACCACACATTTTATGGAATTAGAGACATTATGTAAAGTGAAACAAGCCAACATACAGTACACTGGTTACTTTTGTGGTTGCTGTGAGAAAATATCTGAGAGAAGTAACTTGAGAAGAAAATTTTATCTCGATTCACAGTTTAGAAGATACAGTCATGGTGACTGTGAGGGCTTGGTCTCTGATGGTTGGAGCACATGGTATACATAGTTCACATCTCAGTGCATTAGGTACAAAGCTTGGGCTGTAATTAGAAGTGGAGATACCACCTTCAAGCCCGACTCCAGCAACCTACTGCTAGCTAAGTCATACTTCCTGAAGATCCTATAACAGTGCCACCAGTTGGAGATGAAATATTCATCAAACATATGAGGGTGGAGGATATTTTAATAAACAGTAATATTCTGCCATTGTTCCCCAAAGACTTAGGACATTTCATAGTGCAGGATGTATTCACTCTGACTGTACAAGCCCATGGTCTTAACCATCTCAATACTGTTCAGAGTTCAAAGAGTATTTTGAGACTTAAGGCAAGGTCATAGCTGTGAACCCTTGTTAAAAACAAAACAAAAAATGATTAAGTACGCCAGCCGATGGTGGCGCACGCCTTTAATCCCAGCACTCGGGAGGCAGAGGCAGGTGGATCTCTGTGAGTTCGAGACCAGTCTGGACTACCAAGAGAGTTCCAGGACAGCCTCCAAAGCCACAGAGAAACCCTGTCTGGAAAAACCAAAAAAAAAAAAAAAAAAAAAAACAAAAAAACAAAAAAAACCCCAAAACCCAAAAAAACAAAATGATTAAGTACTTTCCCAATATAC